ACATGATCTTAGTATAAAACATAATTGGTATTGTATTCCTTCTATTAAGTGCTGAGAAGAAAAGAAGTATAATTAAGTGAACTTCTTGGTGAAATAGTTTACAAATATCAGAACATACAATCATGAAAGACTAATGTTTTCATTTTCCCATATAGCCTAACACAGTAAGGGCTCTTTCCAAGTACTAATTCACTGATAAAAGCTGTGTGCTATGAGCACATCCCATTATTTTAATAGGCAGGTTTTACTGTTATTCAGTTAAATCTGAACTGCTTTCCCCTGGATCAAGAAGAAAAAAATTGACAAAGTGGAATAATTTCCCAGCTTCAGTCTGCATCTAAATTATCTTTCAATTTACCAATTACTTAGACTAAGACTACTATAATTTACCAAGACATTACTTATACACCTTCACAACTTCTGTACCTATATTGTAATCAAATATTTATCTAATCTTTCTAAATACTGGTCAGTTGATAACTATTCTCTCAACTTAGAATCTTAGAATTTTCCGTCTTAGACATCATCTAGGCTAACTAACTCTGTCTACAGATGAAGGGATATAAGAAAAGCCTTCAGAAGCCCAAATATTTATTCGTTCTGCAGTCCACAGAAGGTGCTAGAAATGCAAACCTTGCATTTACTAAAAAGTAAACATGACAGGTAAGAAAATCAGACAATACTCTACTTCTGGAAGATTTATTTTGAGGCAAATTTCCAAAACATAGAATACATATTTAGTTACAAGGGAAAATACATTTCAAAGCCAAAAGAAATTACTTTTGAATTATTCGTATATATCTTCTACTTTATATGGGCAAAGAGGAAGACTTAACTGACTATTATGAATGAATGGAGGCTCACTATCAAAGACAATGAAATTGTAATTCGAATCTCCTATTATAGGCACTATCATCAAAAACACTCTAGAGGGCACCAGAAACAGCAATATCTGCTTTTATTAAATTCGAGAAAGCAAGACCAACTTTTCTTTGATAATGAAACACTTACTCAATGCATATATATTTAATAAATATACAATGCTGT